TCTCGCGCGTGGACGCCTAACATCCAGACCACTGAACTGGCATCAGACGGTGTTAATGTCTAACCTCAACCAATCCACGAAATAGCGCCACGATCCACCATAATATTCACAAAACCTCTCTCTGATAATTGTCATCATATGCCCACTAATGACGGTCTCCAAGAGGTATTTCTTGGATTTCTGGTGAGAAACTCACTAAAGACAATGGTGGATGTGCCGCTCAATTTCGTGGATTAGTTGAAGTTAGACATTAACACCGTTGGATGCCGGTTCAGTGGTCTAGTGTTTAAATGGACTGATAGGTCCATCAGCAGTGGATGCGTACCACTGAGGAGTCTCATACTAGGACGAAACAACCGGCCAATGCTTCCAGGTTTTCCATGGTTGTCTAGTTTATTTGACTGATTAATTCAACTATTAAATCCTTAGTATATCCTAATCGTATTATTTTGAAAATAAGTTCATTTAACCCATGTTAGTATTTGAATAGATTAATGAATTGCATAAATTAATAAGATAATAAAGTTTATTTGAAAAGAATGAACCATACGGAACTCGAGCAGTTTGATATAGTAATTATTATCTTTATTATGCAATAGTGAAATTAAATATAACATGATAATAGAAAACACCACGTTTATTAGAGGAATAATTCACATGATCTCATGGCAATTATATTGCTCAAAATGAATCAAGGATTACTGATGCATATTCAAAGTAAAAACTGATTATTTGAAAATACAGAAAGAAAATTGGATTGTTAGCACTTTTCATTGTTGTTATTTGAGTGTCAACTCTATTTATACGTGACAGATTCCAAATGATTTGAAGCTATTTAATAAGGTAATTCAATCGCCCACAAATGTATAGCTCAGTTATTCATTCTTATTCATATACAAAAGTGTAAACGTATTGTACGTTGACTTCTTAATAGATCGTGGCATACTGATATCTATGTGGAAGTACAGACTTTTTTTACCTAGTGAAAAATCAATCTGACTATATGAATCATTTTATTGTTGACTATTTTCTGTCCTCCGCAACGAAATTTTATGATTCAACTTCCAGATTATATAGAAAAGTGATATCACTTTTATTGTTCAAAATAGACCAGAGAATAGATTTGGAGGTCAACTGATATTTGCACAGCTTTATAACATATATATATATATATATATATATATATATATATATATATGATGAATGGGATTCTTATAAGCCTTGTTTAAATCTCAGTGGATATAGGAATACGGGTAATTTATATGTCGTTCTGTTCCTTTAGGTTCCACATTAAGATATTTAAACTTTAATCGGCATTCATGTAAAAAATGATTGTCCTATCCTTTTTGTTCGATGTAGAAGACAAATATAAAAACACAAATAAATAAATATATTATATTAGGAAATTCGCCTCTTCTGAGTCAAGAAATCAATGAACGTATCATCAAAAACTAAGAATTGATAGTCAATTTTGGGCTGTATTCTAGAATAGCTTAGTAATTTGCTTCTGAAACCTAGACGAGATCAACTCCATAGAATACAGTCCTTGTTCGAATACATTATCTGTAGATCTATAAGGTTTCCACCTGTTTTATTCCTGACTTCGCTATAAAGTATAAACATCAACTAGTACTATCGATGTTATCTGCAACAAGGCGGCCTGCTTGAGTATATGAGCTATCTGTTTCCTGGAAACTTTTACAAGTCATCTGTTTTTTTGTTGTTTTTTTAACACATCATTATGCCTATTAGTCGCATAACCTGTCCAGGTACGTTTGTGAAAAGGTTACGACTGTACAAGTTACAAAAGAGTCTAATCAGAGACATCGTGGTTGCTATCAATGTGCATCGAAAAGGATATACATTAATCATATGTCGATTCCTGAACTGCTAACATCTAACTGGCTACCACTCAATATTTATCGCAACGGTTGATTAAGAAATAAGAAAAGGAAAATTGTTGAAATACTTTATGTGAGAATTCTATATTGTACCAAAAATATAATATTGAATAAAGCCAATAATAATAATCTCTACTGACTACAGATTATCACTACAATATTAACAATTCTTCTTAAAGTTAATCATTATTGAATATATAGTTAATTGTTTAATTGGGTTGATAGTAAAGTGTAATTAAGTTTAAAGTAACTTTTCACTGAGAAATGATTTTCAAAAAATGTGTATTTTCTGTGTAAAATTTGCTTTATACTACTACTACTACTACTACTACTACCTCTGATACTAATACTAATACTAATACTAATAATAATAATAATAATGATAATAATAATAATAATAAAATCTGTCATTTTAAGTTAGACTTATACAATTTAATTTTTCTATTTATGATTCAACATAGGCAGACTGTTTAGTTGTTTACTTATATTCCCATATCTAACAAATACATAGAATAAACGGATAAAATTTCCCATAAACAATAATATTCTGTGATTTTGGACAAATTTCCAATGAACAAATAAATAGATAATTTTATTTTCTATTAAATTCATTGTATGTAAATACTAAATTTTAATTATCAGAAGGGTTTTTGTGGAGATTTTAGTAATTTCAATAGTTGAAATCATGAGTCAATTGAAGCTAGACTACCATGGAAAACCCGGAAGCACTGGACAGTCGTTTCGTCCTAGTATTGGACCCCTTAGCAGTGAGCTCTCACGATCTAGCCCCCTGCGAGTTTCGAACCCAGGACCCATCAGTCTCATGCGCGAGCGCTTCACCGTACTCGGACAAAACGGCCGTCCAGTGCTTCCAGGTTTTCCATGATGGTCTAGCTTCAATTGGCCTATGATTTCAACTAGTTAAATTTTAATTGTTTATTTCTATACATGAGTGAATTTATTTACATTGTTTATATTGTGTTTTATTTCATGCTTAGACTTATTCATGCTAAAACAAAGAAGGAAAGTGAATAAGAACAAGTTAGTAAAAGATAAGCTCTACAAAAATTAATTTATGACCAATGAATGTATAATAAGAGCATACTGATGAGTGACCTACGCTCCGTCACGAGGGATAACAGGTGTAATCTAATAAGTAAGAATGGATTATAAGGTTTTAAAATAATAGAATGAATTCATTTTATTTTATCTCATAATAATCAACAATGTATGCAAGCTAATAAATTTAATTAACTGAGCATTTTTTAAAAAGAAAATCTGTTTCATTCTAATTTGAGATTTCTTAGAATTTCACACTCGACAATTCATCAAATGACTTTCAGGATTATTGACAACCGTAGCATTTTTAAACTATTGCGTTAACATTTGACTTTACTAAATTGTTTGCTTGGACAGTTACTCTTAGTCTATCAATTTTGTACCGATTTCATTATTATCCAAATGCTCATTTGATTATTTTTTCTCTTAAACTCAGTTCACATATGCAGTTATTAACATAATAACGCATCATTTAGTTGCTTCGTAAATTCAATTCCAGTTCTAAACTTAATTATTACTTAAGAATTTCTATGAGATGATAGTGACTTATTTCTGTCTCATTTCATTTTTTTCTCCCAGTCATATAATCACATCAGTTTAATAACATAAAATTATTGACACTATAAAAAATGCACTTAATTAGATCAATTCATGGGGGTCTAATTTCAAAATTTAATTTTTCATATCAATTATAATGTTTTTTACAGGAGTTAATTTGGATTTTTGATTGAGATCATGAGTCAACCGATGTTAGATCACCATTGAAAACCCGAAAGCGCTTGACGGCTGTTTCGTTCTAGTATTAGACTCCCAGTAGTGCGCATCCAAAATTACGCACGTGGGATTCGGACCCAAGACCTTTGGTCTTGCGCGTGAACGCTTCAGGTCCAGACCACTGAACCAGCATCCAACGGTGTTAACATCTAACTTCAACGAATTCCAGAAATTGCTCGGACATCTTCCATTGTCTATGGTAGATACTTGTCTCTATCTGACACGGACGGAACAGCTGTTCAGTGCCTCCGAGTATCCATTCATCGATTCATGATGTCAATCAGAAACTTAACAATCTCCACAACCCCATAATCTTAATTTGTATTTATTTATTATATTAAAAATACGATAAATATATATTTAATATCAGGTGGGTTTTGTGGATATTATAGTAATTTCAATGGCTAAGATCATGAGTCAGTTGAAGCTAGACCACCATGGAAAACCTGGAAAAACTGGACGGCCGTTTCCTCCTATTGTGGGACCCCTCAGCATCCATGAACTCGCCCCCTGCGAGATTCGGACCCAGGACCTACTGGTTTCGCGCGCGAGCACTTAACCACTAGACCAGTGAGCCGGAACCAAACGGCGAGGTCGTGGATGCGCACTGCTGAGGAGTCCCACAATAGGACGAAACGGTCGCCCAGTGCTTCCAGGTTTTCCATGGTGGTGTAGCTTCAACTGACTCGTGATCTTAACCATTGAAATACATATTTAACAAAATTTTCGTCGTAAAACCATCATTGTCTTAAATGCAGGATTTAACTCAGGTCTCATTACTTGTTTTGCTGACTAATTTTCAATCTCTAATATGATTGGTTAATTTCAGTAAACTATTATAATAGGCGAATCAAAATAGAGGTCAATGAAATAGATTCCACCAATCCAGTTATTTTATGAATCTGAAGATAGGGAAAATACACACGACATACAAATAACGTGCTTTTAATTCATTTTAGGATTTTCTGTTTATATGACAGTTGTATTGTCTCAATTATGTTAGGATTCCTTAAATATAATTTGAAAGAACACGGTTAAAAGTTGTCATGAGAAACATTGTTTATATTAAATGACTAATTTATTCCATGAACTTTGTCGGTAACAAAAATTGAGTTATTTGAATGTGGGACTTATCTACATTGCCTTCGACATTTGGTCAATAAATTTATATTTACTGAATATTTCAAATCTAATGATTATTTCAAAGATTCATTCATTGTTCACAAACAAAAATCAAATATCGTGAAACATTCTGATGATACATTGATGGCTTCAATCGATATACCATTTCTTCACGGATCTAAAGATCGTAATGTATATGCTAATCCGGATGTTTATACTAGTGCTGGAGTTGTTGCCACCACGTACTCGCGATTTAAAACAAGCTTTTGGATTGATAGGATTTTACTCATTTTAACTGTATGTATCCCTGTCACTCAAGCATTAGTTCTCTTATTATTGCATGCTCTTCTGGGCGTTACTCGTTGTCTTCCAGATACAAAAGAAAATAAACTTGATTATTACACAATTACAAATACATTTATTGATCGTGCATGTGGTCTACAACTGACTACGGAAGTACTGCAAGGAACAGTTAAACGATTACCACATTCTTTTAAATCTTCAAGTCAAATTCATTCTGAATCAGAAGTAACCAATAAAGAAATTAGTACAATTCGTCTACAGCATGAATGTTATCCATTTGTTTTAATTATATATGCAGTAGCAATGTGGATACCTCATTACTTATATCATCGCTCTACAGATCGAACTGCTAGACGTGATTTATGCTTGGTACGTGCCGAATTACATAGTTTCAGAAGAGCTGTTACACAAGAACTTGCTTATTTACAAACACTTGCAACTGCATCAACTGATGTTGGTGCACCAACTGGAACTTTTCTATCACCTACATCAACTATTCCAACAGGTCCTATAATACATCAGAATGGTTTATATCATCCTCATACTGGAATAGGATATGGTGTACAAAATGATGGAACTAGTGGACGTACAACTGCTGCAACATTTGGTGGTGGATCAGCTCTATCACAAACAACTGCACCAACTGTGATTCATGCACAACAACAATCTACAACAATTGGTACAATTAGATATGGTGGTATTGGTGGTGGTATTGTTGATAGTCCAACAATTTCACCAGCTATACCAATAAGTTTTGGTGATGCTGATTTATCAGCTCCAGGTTTATTAGATTTACCATGTTTTCATGCATGTCATGCAGATTGGTCATTAAATACTTATTTAGCTGCATGGCAAAATACCGATTCTATTGGTCAAGATATATAACTAAACATATAGTTTTATTAGTATTTCATGGATGTACTATTTTATTCACTTTTATTATTATTGGTATTTATAAAGGTACACCATTTGCACCATTATTTATATGTCAAATTAATGATTATCAATTATCGAATAAATTATTTATTTGTATGTTACAAACAACCTTTATTGTAAATATGTCTATATTAAGTATAGGCTTTTTAAATTTAATTGGATTAATATTACAAATGATTTATTTCTATGAAAATTTTATACATATATTTTGGTTATTTAATAATAATGGATCTTATATGGGTATAACAACACAACCAAATATTTTTTTAACTGGTGTCGATGAAAGTCGACGATGTTTTTTTGCTGATTATATACGTTTATTAGCTTATACAGCATTTAAAGATACACATTGTGAAATACGTACATTAACTGTTAATTATTCACCATATTTATATTATTCAGATTTTCATTTTCTTTCATTATTATGTAATGAAAATATTCATTTATTTTCAGATTCTATACATATACATTATTGGACTGAACGTTATGCACGTTTATGTTGTAAACATTTTCATCGACCATATTGGGCTATAAGACGTGGTAGTTTAGGACATTTAGTACGTTGTGAAGATTTATCAATGAAATTTAATTTTAGTAAAATTAAAATTCGTGTTGAAGTTAATGATTTTGGTTTTTGAAAATGAATCTTCTCTTCTTTCTTTTTCTTTTTTAAAGAAAAAAAATACACTAGAATCATATTGTTTCTTGATATTTACTTTTCTTTTTAAAGGAAATATAATAAATTATCATCGCACAAACATATAACATACAGGGAGTCTTATCAAAATTAAAAATATAAAAAAAACTCTATTTTATTTCATTTCTTTAAGATTTCCAAATTTGGTTTAATGAAATTACAACAATATTACTTATTATATACATATTAGTAATATATTGTATTGGCTTGTAATAGTAAAAAGTACAGTAGTAATTTTATTACATTTAATCATGATACATATTCGCTTGATGTATTTTGATTGTTGTTTGTTCTTTTCGAACATTAAACACTTCGTTTAATGTTTAATATAGAACTCAGGAAATTTCAATTTTCTATACAATCATGTATGCTTATAATACATACATGTATAGATATACATTTATCAGCTGTATTTATTTGCTTATTTTTTCGCTTATTTTATACCTTTTTTTTGTTTGTTTTTTGTCGTTGTTGTTGTTGTTTTATTCGATATTGTTGGGGGGTCTTTGCTTGTTTGTTTGTATATTTTCATATTCAAACAGCATGAAGAATGGAATTAGGAATTTTCTCTTAATCTTGTTGTTTGATTATAGTCAATTAATAATAAAAGTAACAATCATAATAATAACTGTTTTTCTTAAATTATTTGATGAATTGAATCTTTATTCTGAAAGAAACATATGATACTGTATTATGTATCAATTGTGCATTAGGATCTATCTTATTTAGTCATTGTTCAACCGATGCTTTTTCAGTATACAAAAAAATGATAAGGAATGGATACATTCAGTTTTCATCAACACAAATTGAATTCTATTATAAAAGTTAAATGTTATCTTCATTGATATTTATAGTTTTAGTCAGCCAAATGATTAATTAGCCTCAATTTATGATGAAGCATCTTTTTTCAAACAATATTGATTTTATTAAAAATTACCTTTGATCTAACCAAATAATGATAAAACTGATCAATGTTTTGACCAATCTCTAGCTATGCAAGAGTTAATACAACACAATATATTCCTCAATCCAACTTACACTAACTCGACAGGCTGGATCAATCACGTATATCGGTTCAAGGTCAAATGATGGAGGAAAGATGCAGGTGGGTGCAGATTATAGGCCATGTTATGACTTAGTTATCTGACGTACGCTATTAGTCGCAAATCTACTCAATTTTCTGAAGGATATATATATATATATATATAATCTTGCTACTCCTTGATAATTTTTTACCTAGGTAGCACGTTTGGCTCGCATATCGGAAGCGTATATATAAGTATCAGACTCGGACAATCGCTTAACTTAATACAACTCCCCCAATAACTCTTGATCCATACCTCAACTATTGAGAAAACGTAATACAACCAAATACTTATTCCCGTTCAAAACAAGAATGACAAATAGGAACAAGAGTGGGTATTTATAGGATGTTTTAGTATATCTATGAAAAGTAGCCATTCTGAGTGTCCGTTTCATGCCGCTTGATTCAACAGGACGTGCCAGGTTTGAGGATCTAAAATAATGATTGTTCAAAAAATCTCCTTATCGATTTGGATAAAATTTTTGAGAACTATTGAATTTTCCAACATCCAACGAAATATTCCACCGAAGTTTTAGTTTATTATACTCTAAACAAATATTCACAAAGTTAGTAATAAGAATAGATGCTTGTCGAAAAGCATCAATGTTTATTAATCCAACCATTCCGACAATTAATGAGGCTGCTTTTTATATTCCATGCCTTTACTAAAGACAACCCAGTTATGGCTCTCTTATTTCAGATAGTTACTTCTACGAAAGTGTTCAGTTTGATGAAATAAATATTCAGTAGTTCCTAGTTTTTGATAATTATTCAGGTCATGTTGAATTGCGATTAAACGTTTAATAACAAATATAAAACAATAATTAATCGTTTTATAGGGAACAGTGAATAACTTACACATAGTTAAGAAAACAGAACGTTTATTTTAGCATATTTGGTACGGGGTTATCAGTGAAATACGCAACGAACGCTTAATGTCACTTTGGGCTCGTCATCCAGTTGCATCTACGTTTACCTACAATCAGCGCGCCACTATAAACAATGACTAATTGAGCTTATGGTATAAAACGAATTCATACTATTCTACCCAAATCTTTCCATCTTCTCTCTTTAAGATGATAAAGCAAACTATGTGTATATAACTAAGATTATATAGTTGAGTAGGTTGTTAATATTTGCATTGCCTTAAAGATACTTTCCCTTACAAACCACCATGGACTGAAACACCAATGAAATTCAGAAGAGCACAGTATAACTTATTCATTCTACTCTAAAATTTTCAGCAGTTAGGAAATGGGATATCACATGACAGTGAGTATAGGACTGTCAAGTCTTGTGGTGAATATAATGTTGGAAAACGTAAACAACGGAATAATCGTTTGATGATTGAGTACTTTACAGCCCATTAATTTGACCTCATTTGGGATCGTTAGTGTACACTGTTAAGAAATTCTAAAATCCAAAACAGACAAGAAGTTCAACCTTTTTTTTCTTTTCAATATATTTCTTGCTAAGATTAGTTAACAGTGAAAACTTTTCAAATTAATGATATTCGATAATGTGAAAATCTAACCCCATTTTATGAAAAATTTTCTATTTTATTAGCTTAATAGTTTAAGTAGTATTCACTGATACGAAAACAATTCGTCCTTCCTAGGGTGAACTTACTAAAATCATTTCCTTTCCAACCGATTCATAGTCAATCATCTATAAATAGTATTCAGAAATTAAGTGACCCGAGTTAACTGTTATGACAATTAAAAATATTATATGGATATAGTGTGCTAAAAAAGATTTGTATTGTATATCATTAAAAATCTTCCTATTTCATCAATCAACTAATATATTTTTAACTAGTGATAAAAAAACCCAGATAAACAAGCCTAAATTTCAATGTATCTAAAAATAAGTACATCATCAAAGGGAAACTTTCCTCGTAAACATTGAGATATTGAAAAGCCGATTTTCCAAATAATTGGAAATAACATTTCTTCTACTTTAAGCTTCGTATTGTCTCTTCCATATGACCTTTGATTAATGAATAGAACAGAGATAAAATTCCGTCTTGAATTTTATTAACGTGCATCTATAAGTTTACTTGATCTTTTGGAACGGATTACATTTATCGAACAAAGAGTTTTTGCTAAATGCATTTGAGAATATTACCTTATTTGTGTTTTAAAGGGAAAGCGTACATCAATCAAGAGATGAGTGCGGAAGCTTGTCCATTTTGATCATACTTCTCCCACCAAAAAACATCTTTTAGAATCATTTAGACGAACAAACCATTAAGCTCTGTGGAGACACAAATAGAGAACTTGTGTTTTCCGTTGGGATATTGTATCCAATACAAATCCATCTTTCCGCATACGAATTTGACTACTCATAAGTAAGCGAAGTTTTTACACATTGTTTTTACATGGTATTTGCCAACTGTATAAACAATCACCTATAAAGAAAGACCATTTAATATGAGTATTGATGATGTTGATTCCATTCGTTAATCAGTTACATAAATATTAATGAAATAGCAGCAACTATAGAGCCTATTTGATAGTGATGTTAACAATTCACTCGCTCAATGACAAGAGGACTCGACATTTATTCGTATTAACTTGTTTATACTTTCCTTCTGTTTTCTAAACAAATCTCAAGCTTAATTAATTATTTAATTATAGAAAACTTTTAAGTAATTCGTGGTCTGTTTCTTATTATGGCCAATCATTCAATGACTTATGAAGTCAAGTATAAAATTTCTATTTACTTTTTCGTACATTTATACTTGCAAATATTTCAGTAGTATATAAATATTTCATTCATCAATCTGTTGCGATTAACAGGTAGATAAGTTACATGACTGATTAGTATGAAAATGAATTTCATTCTTAAAATCTGATATACTTAAATTATAAATCATAAAAATTAGATGATAATTACTAATCTTATCTTAAGTACTGACCAGAATTTGAGTATTTAAGAACTAATTATAACAACCGAATTCATGTTATGTGATATTAGGACTGATCTCATATACTTAAATTTAGTCGATTAATATGCATCGTGAACAGATTAGATGTGACTCCATGGCTGTAATATTAAATACAGACTTGATCTATTGTGGCGGTATACATTTCAATATCATTAGTATCATCGAGGTAAGTGCCAAGAAATATTAAACTTATGTTACATAGGTGCTGATGTGAAAAGGGAAACAAGAAACCCTGACAAACTACGAAAGCTATTTTTCGAGACGTAATTTCATTTTGTTCAAAGCTTGTAAAACACTGACATTTATTTTTGTCCCTATTTTATTCTACAGAATATGAGCTTTCGTTCGATGTATCATTCATTGCCATACCCCTTTTTGTTCCGAAGCTATTGTAATTTAAACATAATATTTTGCACCTTATTTTCTACCCTAATTCCCAGTTTTGGACATAAAATTGTATTTTTCCAAATTATCTTACGTTGTGGTCAGGATATTCACTTATTTATTCATGTACCTTTTTGCACTAATCTGAATCCAGAGAATACAGAGATTTCGCAGGAAATCATGATATCGCAATACAGCCAATAGTGTCCCAACTGTCTTGTCTTCTCTCATTTGCGTGCTTGCCAGCCAATAAGGTGCTCGAATAGTTTTTCTCTACCACACCTCGGACTCACGCATACTAGCCTCAAGGTTAAACTGGCCAACCTAGGTCTTAATCTAGAGTAGACAGATCAAGGTCATTACAGGGCTAATTTGTTATATAGCTGACTTATAGATTCTTGAATTATGAGATCCATTATAATCAATGAGAAGAATTCTTTAAATAATTGGACCATTATTTTCATAATGATCCGATGCATAACTATAGCTTTGGATTGATTTCTTAAATGATAATAGTAATATT